CCCCAAAACCCCAAAACCCCAAAACCCCACAATCATATGTTTAAAAAATAAGAAATTGATTGGTAAATTTATTACTAATATAATAAAGAACCAGATCCAAAATATGAGTCCTTGATGAACTTCAATTTTCACATTAGACCAAAGCCTTCTGAGTTAGTGATAGCAAGTAGAAGTTTAAGCTTTAGCTTATCTTTAGTTGGATACTCTGGAATCAACAAATGATTGAAGCAAGTATGGGCACTTGGTAGTCTTTCACTATCTTCTCCATGTCTACCAATATATAGTCTGACTCCTCCAAGACCTACAATCGGAGCTCTATCACTACCTGTGCAAAACGCTAGGAATCTCTTCTTTTCATCATCACTCATTTCGTGAATTATTTCCCAAAGCCATTTTGGCTACATACTCTCATTGGTATAGCCATCTACATACTTAGCTGCTTTTTAAAGTGCTAGGAAATCGAGCTTTTTAGAACCGCAAACTAATTGCTCAAGCTCTTCTGGCTTAAAAAGAGATTGCATCAGATCCTCATCACATACTCTATAAAACCCTTTTTTGAATGATCTTAGTTGACCCTCACATTATTTCTTAAATATATATTCCATGTATAGCTAGACATACTCTTCTTTATTTTCCACAGTTACCATAATATCCGATCCCCCAGGTTTTAATTCAAATTCAAATTTTTCTCCAAATCTCTCTTCCTCAATAGCAAAGTTAATTCCTAGGGCTTCTTCTAAGGGAGTTTCGTCGTTATAATTCAAAATAAATTCAAGGCTTGAAGCTACTTCTGGCTACCATTCTTAGAGATCTTCAAATATAGGCTCTTGGAAGAGTAATTGCTTGTAGGCAATCATAGGGAATGGAAGGTCTAATATAATACTGTTGTAGATGCCAAGTCCCATTAATATACCGATCAGTTCAAAGTTCACATTAGGCTCCATTGAATGGCCATTGAACCAATACAACCTTTGCTGCTCATTATAGTTGAACATCCCGAAGTTAGGATCAAACAAGCTTCTGAGAAGAAGTTGGAAGAACTCTTTTCTAACTCCTCCCTCATCAACGCCTGGCTCTCCTACGAACTAAACTCTCAGAGGTTTCTTGAAATTTAGTCCTGGATTGACTATTTTATTCAGAGTATCCTCAAGGATATTTTCTCTTCTCACTTCAAGATACATATATAGAGACTGTAGTCCAGGCTACCTGAGCATATCCATTATATTTAGGTGCTATTGTTATTCCATGCTAAACTTGTTTTATATTTTAATCATATCACTCTTATTAGCTGCATCCAAGATCCAAGGATAATTGCAAATTGTAAATTTAGCGTGTCTGTCATATGGAACATTTGATGCTCTTGCTATCTACATTAAAAATTGTTTAAGATCAATTCTTACCTCTCTTTCTTAGATCCATTGAACAAAATGATCTTGTAGATTGAGTTCCTTATTGATGGCATCATTGTAAAATTCTTTGTAACTAAGCCTTAATTTGAGTGGTCTTTTATTATTTGCTTCGTTGAATATATCAAGAAATCTGACACCATTTTCAATTACTTTGGACTTGAATGTCCCGCTTGAAATTGATAGTGTGAAATAACTCTAAGTGAGTTAAACCAGTTACTAAAAATTAGCTCTAGACAGATTAACAACTAGAAATGACTCGAATAATTTAAAGTCTTTTCTATATTGCTTAATTAAAGTAGCCATTTGTTTGATTATTGATTCAAATATCGAACTCCACTCCCATTATATTTTATCATTGATCATAATCATCAGCAATGATCTGAATACCATCAATGCTTTATCAATTGTTTAGTTTTGGTTATGCTCGTAATATAATATTTATAGTAATTAATCTAGAGCACTGATCAATTTCTCATCATTATTTTCGTATGCCATCTGCAATTTTTAGAACATGATTTTAACACCTTCGTAATCGATATCATAATTAGTGATTACATCTAGTTCTTTTTGCTTATTTTAAACTATCTAATTCTGACTTAAATCTTCCATTTGAACATCCTATTTTCTTAATTTTATGAAAGAACTAGAAAAAGCATAGCCATCTTCTATAAATTCTCTTATTTGCTAGGCTAAATTATGATTAATTGAGACAATGAAAGAATTTACGAGTCAAACTCTAAATTGATTCTTAGTTTTGCGAGACAGAATCTGAGCATATCAGACCTTTTGGATCTTAACTAGATTATACGATTTTAAAAGCTTAAGTAAGTCTCTCTCTATCGTTTGCGAAGTTCAAGTTGGCTCTTTCTAGAATATTCTTGTTAATAAGCATTTAACATTGTATAATATGATTTTTTAGACAGAGGCATTTTAAAATTTCTGAGGAATATACTGACTTAGCATAAGTTCAGAAATGAGGCAAAAATCAACCAAAAATTTGTCCAATTAAAGAAATGAATTTAATGGAATTTCTTTACTTACCGAGAGGGTTTTTCAAGCAATATTTATTGAAACAAATGTCCTTTTTGCATCCAACCTTCATCTGGAAAATTAGCTTAGTTATCGTAATTTTTAAAATCTCTTTCTATTCATTTTACTTCATCTATTATTCATCTTCTAGTGATTTCTTTTGAAGTGGAACAGAAGATTGATCTTGCTCAAAATTTTCTTGATCTACTGATTTTTTAAACAAACCTACTGATTCTGGTTAGGAAGCATCCTAATCAATATCCATTTTCTATTCTTAGTCTTAGCCACTAATCATATTAAGATTAAAATGGTAATACTTAGTAGTTTATTTTTGCTCTGGTATGTCTTGCATCGGGACATTTTCATTAGGATTGTTAGATTCCATGATTTGTTCAAAATACTTTAAATTTAAATGATTGTATTAGTATTTTAAATTATTGAGCTTTATCAAATTATATTACATTTATTCTACTTAAAATGAATACCATTTTGCAAAACTTTAAAGAGTATCCGATCTATCTTTATCTTTTACTGGGTGTTACATTCATTGGAGTCTCTGCTTCTATGTTCTTGAAGAGAGATCTAGAAATGGAGGAATAACTTTCATAGCTTGATAGGCATAAACAAAAGAATAAGGAAGCAAAAGCTTTGAAAGCCTAATCAAAAAATAATCAAAGCTAGGAGAACAAACCTTAAAAAGTTGAATAAATCAAGGAGGTTTAAAAATCAACTAAAGTTATTGTCTAAGAGAAGCCAGCATAAGTTAAGTAAGAGCAGCAACTTGTAGAAAGCAAATAAGACCCTGCTGCCAAAGAAAAGTAGCAACCCAAATAGTCTAAGTAAGCTCCTAAACAACAACAGAATCAATAAAAAGTTGAGTAATTACAGAATTCACAGTCTAAGACTGAGGAAAAGAAAAAAGAAGAACAGCTTAAAGTTTCATAGCCAGTTCCTGATGTTTAATATGAGCAAGTTGTGGATAAGAAATCAAAGAAAAGTAAAAATAAGAATACAGAGAGTAAACATTAACCGAAGCAGAACAATAACACGTCACAATAAATATAAGAGGACAACTAAAAATCTATTTAGGAATCATAGCAGATTAAGTAGTCTTCATTTGATGATTAGGGATGGACTGTTGTTTAGACAAGAGATACAAAGAAAAAAGCTGAATGATATGACAAGGTAGTACTACAATCAAATTATATGTTAACTTTACTCAAAATTTAACATTTTTTACAAATCATCTATAATCTTTATATTAAGTATACACGGGGTTTTGGGGTTTTGGGGTTTTGGGGTTTTGGGG